GAAAATTCCTGGATGAACTAGACATCATTCTCAACAACTTTATAGAAAAATCATTTCAAAATTTTGAGCATAAAATTGTCTAAAAATTCGTACAAGTTTCTGGCAGATTGAAGAGTTATATAATCAAACCAAATAAAATCTTTAATCATCTCTTTAATGACACAAACTACATATGCAAGTCTAAATCCAAGATTATATCATGATTTTAAGGCTACTAATAAAGAAATGACCTTCAAATATTTAACATACCAATCACAAATTTACATACAACTATAAACAAAAATTTATCTAAAGTTTTAGCTATGTTAACATATGAACACAACTCTAAAAATTTAACAATTAAAAAGAATGAGACGGCTATGAGAGTTTTCTTACTATGTTAGGTTGTTAACGATTTATCGTCCGAATTTGATTTATGATTCTGATCGTAAGATATGATCGTCCTGGCTCCATGATCGTCTTGCTGAAATTTCACATCAATGGGACGCGATCTCACCGTTAATCTGCCATTGGATTCTCTTAGAACTATTAGTTGTTGATCATCATCTTAGACTCCGAATTTGCAAGATCTAACCCCAAAAATGGATTCTACACGTCGAAAAACCTAAGGGTGGTCATCCCTAAAGTCATAGGACCACTCGATTAACCTAAAGGTACTAGGGTGCACCGTAGCACCATGGACCGAGAAACACTGGATAAAATTTAAGCTCATCTTCTCCAACAGCCGTAGCATGCACGAACAGAAGACCCAGAATTTTAGTTTCAATGTCACTAGTTCAAATGCTTGTATCTTCTTCATCGTAACTCCGTTTTATCTTATTTTTCTGTCACTGGATTCAACTCACGACCTAGTTTTTGGTTCACTACTCACACGCCTCGTTCCGTCTCTTTTTGCATGCCGTCGAATCTCCAAAATTTGACGAAAAATATGATTATTTTCCTACCGTCTCAGACATTTTTTTCGAACCATATTTCGGACCCCATAACTTTCTTAATTCTTAACGGTTTTACTTCATTCTTTCGCCAATCTTTTTAACTTACTTCGTACTTCATCTTACATGGCCTATTTGTCTCACTTCTTTCCAGAATGGATGGTTTTGGCATGCCGAAAGTAAGCCGAAAACCAACTTTTGAACTTCAAAATAAATTTCTATAACTTTGTTTCTTTCTCCTCCATCTTCTTTCTTCTTCTCTTTCTTCACCTACAACACTTTGTGGATGGTGGTTGTAGATAATAATAGAAATAGGTGATGGTGGTGGTGCCGGTCCGACGGTGCGCCAATGGTGGTGAAATTCGCGGGTTGGCGATAGTGTGGGTTGAGGCCATGGCTATGGAGGTTGGGGAAGGAGGAAAAACATAGATAAAGGAGAAAGAGAGTTTTGAGAATGAGAGGTAGAGGGAGAGGGAGAACCGAGAGAAAGAGAGATATCAAATTAGAAGAGAAGCAAAGTGAGGAAGATGAAAAGAAATAAAATAAAAAAAAAAAGAGAGAAATAGAACACTTGGTGGCATGGCATCAGCATGCTCACCACGTTTCTTTTGTTATAGGAAATGATTGCACGTGGAAAGTGAGAGGTGAGAAAACATGGGGAGCAAGCCCATGGTTTCTGATTAGATTTTAGTGCAGAATGTATTAGGTTTCAGTGTAATTTGATTACAAAAAAATATAGAGAAAAATATAGTAAAAATATCATACGGCTCAGAAATTAATATTGAGTAATGATATAAAGTCAAAAATATTTTATTTTATTTTATTTTGAATAAATTTTCAGTATAAAAATATACAGAATATTAAATTCAAAATATTATGAATAATTATTTAAGAAAATTAAAAATATATATATTATTTTTATTATATAAAAATACGGGGTTTGACCACATATAATTCAACCATTCAATTTCATGATTCTACTTTCAATTTAGGCAAAATCATTAATTATCATCATGCATCAACTTAGGGTTTTCAAGGAAAATCAAGACTTTCAAGAAAAATTAAAACTTCTCACACCACTACTTTTTATTCCAATTTTCCCTTTGATTAAACACCTAAGGTTCATAATTCACAATTTTAACCTAACAATTGAACCCCAACACTTCAAACCCTAAGCCCCCAAATCTCATAATGTAACACTATATGCTCAACAATGTAGATTTTGTATTTATATACTCAAAATACCACAAATCTATCTATTAATGCAAGTATTGAAGAAGAACTAGGACCCCTACCTCAAGAATCAAGCAAAAGAGCAAAGCTTTGATGAGATTCCTTGACAAATCCAAACTTCAATCGGTTGAAAAGTGAGATCTTCAAGCATTCTTTAATTTTTGGTAAGAGATCTTGGCCAAAACTTTAGGGAATGGAAGGTATTTGGGCCAAAATCTCTAGGGTTTTCAGACCTAGGGTGAGAGGAAGGAAGAGAGAAAAGAAAAGTGGAGAGAATGATCTAGCAAATCATTTTTTAAGTTGCTGAATTCGCGCAGTCCACTTGAGCGTACCTGCTTCCAACACAAATACTAAAACTTCAAACGGGCATAACTCTCTAATCTGAACTCTGTTTTAGGTCGTTCTTGTGTCCAAATCGAAGCCCCAAAAACAAGTTTTCCAATGGTTCTAGCCTCACACCCAAATTCAAAGTATGGAAAAAGAAAAGGGCAAAAGAGTAACGACTATTCATAAGAAAATTATCTGAATTAAAGTTTTTGGTCCAATCTTACTTTATCATCATGGTACCACTTCGATCAATGTCCCAAAATAAAATAAGGAGACTCCAAATACACTAATAAAAATGTCAAGGGCAATCTCACTTTTTATTCTCGAGCGGCACTTTCTGCTCTCGAGCGGTCTGCCTGCAAACACATGAGATACTGGAACAACAATTCTTCGCTCGAGCGCCACTTCTTGCGCTCGAGCGGTCACTTGGACAGACTTTCACAATAATTAAGGTAATTTTATTATTGTATAGGCAAGCGTTAATTTTGTTAACTAAAAAATTCTACAAGGGGATATTTGTAATTTTTCAAATCACAGAGACAATTTGTGTTTTAACAGAGCCCCTAAGATTTGAGATGTATGTGTTGACGTTCGTGAGATTTCCCAAGGTTTGAGATGTATGTTTAGCCTTTGTAAGATTTGAATCTGCGACTTCTGAGTGATAAATTCTTTGGTTGTTTTCTCCTTTCAATAAGCTAAATCCCTTGGGATTTACAAATTGAGTATTTTTATTTTTATTTTTTTTGTTGAACATTACAAATCAAGTATGATCATAACAGTATTGAACAGTTTAATTTTTTTTCACTTTATATTTTAGTTAAAAAATTAGAAAAAACACTGAAAATAGATATTTCCCAAACTAGCCGTAAATATATGAATTTGTAATGGTACAAGTGTAAACCAATTTTATACCCACTTCCATTCCTTTCGATCCTCTTTTCTCTTTAACCAAACAATCATCCAATCTGGTTCCAAGACACTTATCTTTCATGCTAAACATTGCGTATAGGGCTACCCGCACCACAAACCAAATAGATTTTCTTCTTTTTACCTTTTCATTTTCCTCCTCTTCTCTTGTTCCATTTGTGAGCCTTTTTTCTTTTCTTATTCTTTTTCTTATCGTTTTGCTTTTGCTTTTCAACATCAAAACCTGACATTTTAGGGATTATATTTATTGACAGAGATTTTCTTAAGATATATTTTTATTTGTAAAAGGAAGAAAAGTGTATTAAAAAAGTACAATTTTTTTTTTTAGTAAAAAACATATTGGGAACCATTAGTGCAAAACAATGTAATCACATTTTTTATACACATTCATATACATCATGTGTGCTCCCTTTAATTATGACACAACATAATAATTTTATTATGACGTAACACTGGATCATTATTTTGATTTATGATTCATTAAATTATTGAAATTATAGCATAATATGATTAGATGATGACTTTAAATACATCACATTGTAAGTAAAAATATTTCACGTCATATTCAAAGAGAGTGCACACTACAAATTTTTCACAAATAAAATTAAGTACATTAGTATCTAAAAATTAAATGTTGTGTTATATTGAAATGAGTGAACACTATTAAATTTACGCCCAGACATAAGTACATTAGAATCTAAAAATCATTTAGTGTTATTTTGCTTTTAAAAAAGGGGTGTCAGCTATAAAGTGTCTATGCCTTTCTATTTAATTAATTTAATTTGGACATTTTCTTTTTCATTTATTTATCAAAATAAGCCCCCCTTCTTTTTAGATGGTAAAATAGTGTTATAAAAGCAAATTGGCATCAGCCACACAACCAAAGAAACCAACGTGGGTGGAACATCCTCCATCAAAATAAGCCTTTAAAACAGACAAAAGTTGAACCCAATAATGATACACTGTTACAAAAATATGGAGGTGTTTTCAAAGCATTAACTTTGTTTCTTCTTCTGGCAATCCACATTCCATAAGCCATGGCATTTTCTTACCTATAACAAGTAAAACATGCAATGCAAATGCATAAATGAATTTGTAACCATCTCCATCTTCACCTCACCCTTCATAATTTTTATTATTTTTCCTTTTACATGTTTTTACAGAGAAAAGTAATACAAGAGGGAAACAAATAAAGACAGAAGACAGCAAAAAATCTAAAGCAGATTTGAGAAATAAAGATACACAACAATTATTTGCGAGGAAAAACGGTAGATGCGGTTTCTGTAAAAGTGAGTAGTAGTAGTACCAAAGCAGCTAGAATCGAAATAAATGCCCATGGGCTATTTAAATAGTTCCGGTTCAACTTCGCCATCCATCGATTTCTACGTTTGCTGCAATGTATGTTCACCCGGTTAAAGATATCAGCATACTGGAAATGGCTGCTAGGCCCTGTTACTGCGTCACTGATCTTGTTAAATATCGTGGAAACCACTTCATTGTCGCCTAACCAATTATCAATGATTCCACGGCGAGAGAGTATTTCAACATCTTTCGGAGAGTCGATGAGGCAATCCATGAATCTCACATAATTGGTGATATAAGTGAGTTGATTATCTGGACAATATTGCTCGTACGCAATAAGGTTTCTGAAGAATGACTCAGTCCTGTCTTCAATGTTAAAGGTGGAATCTTCATTACCCCATTTTCAAATTTGATAGCAAATAAGCTAGCTCCTTCAATCTTCACTAGTTTGACTCCAGCTTCTCGAAGCTCTATGGTATTAGGAATGAAACGCCAATTTCCTTTTTTATTTGAGCCATCTCCATTGGGAACAATCCCTGCAAATGAAGGAAGCCAATTATTGTGAATCAACCCAAGTAAATGCCTGATTTGGAAGTGTGAGTTTCCATCAACACGCTCTCTATAACCGGGACCTGGTATAAGATCACGAAAAAAACACAAGGCAAGATAAATGAGCCTGTTATGTTGGTTTGGAACCTCGATCATGTCAAATAACTTGCAGAGTATAAAAAATGGCAACTGGTTTTCAAATAGCATCAAATCGGGCTGCAAGCTACTAACAATCCAATCCATTTGAAAAATAGAATCATTCTTGTCTCTCAAGAATGCCATCTCAAACTTCCGCATCAATTCAATGATAAAGCAACCGTCCAATAGCATCATTTCAATCATTTCATTTGCACTAAGGCTTATCGATTCAGTATAACATCTACGTGCTTCTTGTTCTAGCAATATAATAGCAGTGACGTATCTATCTGCACTACTCTCATTTTTTCTTTCAAAAAGTAATTGCAAATAGCGCAACTTATGCTCCTCCATCATCTGTAGGCTATGTTTACCGCGGTGGTAAGGACCTATTGCAATAGTCTCTGGTTCATAGGCCTTCTCATTTACCCCACGTAGTTGTTTATGTACTCTAAATATACAACACTCCGATGGTGAAGGTGAGATTTGAGTGAGCTTGTCATCAATACCGATAGTAATAGAAACAGAATCTGCTTCAACACTGGGTTGCATGTTTACTTAAAAAGCAATAGCGATACCCTGTTCCAAACAAATCACAAAGAACTTGTTCAAATTGAATTCAATGCCCAAAAATAAAATGCGATTATATGATGCCTGCTTAAGGTGGTCAATGTCCCCACCAACTCTTAGATTCCTATGAATCAAGAATTAGATATTTTGATATATAACTGAACTTTAACTCATCTAAAATTGAAATGGGAAAACACCTAAAGGACCATTTCATCAGGGGCATTACTTTCATTAATGCTAAATGAGGCCTTGGGAAAATAGAAAAACTGAGAGAGAGAGAGAGAGAGAGAGAGAGAGAAAGAGAGAGAGAGAGAGAGAGGAGAAAAGAGACTTATTTCTTATAAATGTCATACTGATTAGGTAATAGTATTATGAATGTAAAACAAAACAAAAGAAACTTTTAGTCAATTTGTTCCATGATCTATCATGATTTCCACTAGTTATGTGGAGAACTCTTTCAACTTTGGATAATAACATTTGGGAATGAAGACAACAGTTAATGCAACTATTAATGTAATTATTCCAACTATATTGAGTATCAAACATGTAACGATCGATCAAATTCGTGGATGTTCCTATGAAGAAACACTTGTGATGTTTGAACTCATGCCTTATTGAGCATGTTATCCCATATTTAAACAAATGTTAGTTACAATATGGGTTCCAATGAAGGAAAAACTTTTTGATGGAATGTTCATATTATATATAATATCTTCACTCTCAATAGTTACATACAAAACATAGAAAAGCAAGAATGTTTCTTTTCATCATTCTTCTTAAAATGTAATGACTTTGGTAGAATACTCAAAGTTTGAGACTTTCTAATTTTACGTTCAGCAATTTAAACTTTCCATTCAAAAAACCAAGCTAATTTAGTTACTCACCATTTTAGTACAGAACAATTAAAGTCCATATTCAAGTTACTTGTCGTACATTGTTGGTGAAATCTCACAATATTCTACAGCATTATCTTTCCATTAGAACAAGAGATATCTGAGTGGGTAAAATTGTTGCCATTCTCAAGAATGTTTATGAGACAAACCATCATTTAATTCTCGATCCATTAGCATTGAAGTGGGAAAGGTTGTTAAAATCGGGATCCTACATTGGATCGTTGGAGGTGTTTACAGGATCGGATCGTAGAATCGGATCGAGGATCGTAAGATCCTACTGAAAAAGGTAAATTATGTAATAATTTAATTTAAATAAACATTTCTTAAAAAATATATACGAAACAAGACTATATTCTACTAAAAAGAAGTGAAGATATTATGAAAAATATAATTCTCCATGTAAAATGTAAATATAATATTATACAATAGAAAACTTAATAGCAAAAATTTTGCATTTGATTAAAAAAGAAGGTGAAGAAGAAGAATTCTATAACATAATACTTTGTAATCTACAATATGCATAAAAAGTGAAAAAATAATATTTAACAAAATTGGATATGAAAATAAATTGAGAAGTCAAATCAGCCGCTTAACCGAATAATAAGATTTGTCATTAGCATTCCTAGTGGAGCGGGTTCAAGTCACGAAAATTGCCTCTCCAAAAATTGGGGTAAAGTTGCAATCATGTTATCCTTCTTATACACCCCACCCCACTAAAACTAAGTTTTTTATTCCGACTGCTTAGTTTTCTTAAATTGGTATTATATTAAATATTTGTTTCGTAGTTTGTTTATTTGATTCAATGCAATTTTTTTTTTTTAATATTCATTTGGACCACAAAAATTAATATTTAGACAACAAACATAAAATTTACAATAAAATATATTATACAATACAAAACAAGGCTTACAAATTGGATCGAATTCAGATTGGGACCCCACAATTCTATAAGATCCCATTATCAAGATAGAATGATCCTACCTATAAGGGATTTTTTACACGATCTGGATCGATTGTGCCCAAATGGATCGTAAGATCTGGGTTGGGATTCTGATAATCATAAGGTTATCCTTTTTTAGACTCTTCAAAATTGTTAAATGAAAACAATACTCTGCTCAAGCTTGATTAGAAAAATTGGTGAGATATAAAATGAAGATTGAGGTTTACTAGTTTATTGCATCAATGATCTCATGCAAGATTCTACTCGAGCCCATAAAAAACCAAGCTCTAATAGCTTGATTTCTTGGTTAGTCTCATACAATTATCTCCCTCTCAAATCGAGCTTAAGATGAGTTGAATAAAACAAGCATCAAAATATGGTTGAACTATTCAATAAGGGATATTTTATATCTTTAATCCCATTTAGCTACAATTTCTCTTACACAATCAGATTTAAAGGGCAATCCACCATGGTTCACAAATTTTGGAATTGAAGTCAAGTTTCTCCTCCCTCCATATATTTATTTCCCATCAAAATTGACAGACAGACTAGATAACACTTTCAGATACAAGACCTGTGTAAATTCAAGAATTTTCCCAAAAATTATCTACTACTTTCACCCTGAGTTGTTGCATTCACAAGAGAAAAAATTGATGAGAAAGACTCCTAGAATAAAAGGGATAAATAGAATTTTAAATATAAATCTTATGATAATTCCACATCCTCATAACTTTTTTTATACATCCAGACATTTGATTCAAAACCAACCACTACTAATAATTTCCTCTTTTGCAGTTTATTACAATAGAATTCAACATTGTTAATTTATTACTTATAAAAAAAAGAAAAAAAAAAAGAGTGAGTTTACAAGTCAGCTTGAGGATGATAACTTACTAGATAGAATAGAAGGTCCTTGATTGCGTATCAGTAGGATCGCTCCAGGAAAAATGAAAAAATAAAATATCCAAACCCTGTTTTTGATCGGAGAAATGAAAAGTCATTGCAGGTCGAGAATAATGAATAGTAACATTCCTTGGATTTAGGGGTGAGCATGGTTTGGATTGCATCGGATTGGATTGGGATAAAATTAGGACCAATTCATTATTTATGGTTCTTGAAAAATTAGAACCAATCCAATCCGTTTAAATCATGGAACCAATCCGAATCAATCCATTTAAACACGGATTGGATCGATTTAGGACCACGGATTCACATAATTAAATAACAAAAAAATATATATAATACTTTAATTTCATAAAAACATAAATATAGCGTTATATTAATTCCACAATAGCAACATGTCTTTCTATAATAGCAACATACTATTCTAGAATTTAAACAACAATAAGAAAAATGGTTTCATCATAAGTATTTAGACCATTACAAATTAAAACTAAAAACTAACAAACAAAAGTAATAAAAGAAGATATTAGCCCTGTTTGGTAAAACTGTAGGAAAGTGCTTATAGCTTATGCCTAAACAGCTTATAGCTTATAACTATGAACATAAGCTGATTTCTGACTTATTCTTAAAGCATCTCCTGCCCCACTCAAAGAATAAGCTGATTTCTGACTTCCAAAAAGGTATAAGCTATAAGCTATAAGCTAAACCAAACACATCAAAATAGCTTAAATTAAGCTGAAAGCTGAAATAAGCTGATTATAATTTATGCCAAACAGGCACATTATGTGGGTTTATGTTTGAGTTTAGGTTTTATATGGAATAAGAGGTGATACTATAGGAGATGATGTATAATAAAAATATAGACTATTTATACACGGTCCGGATCGGTTCCAATCCGGAACCATGGAGTTCAGTCCGGAACCAATCCGTGGACTACGGATTTTTAATTCTTTAATCCGGAACCGAACCACGGATTCAAAAAATCAATCCAAACCTACCGGATTGGACTGGACTGGACTAGACTGGATCGGATTACGGATTTCACGGATTTCTTGTTTAGCCCTACTTGGATTTGATATGAATGAGGAAAGAGTTGGGAAGTACTTAGTGCCGTTTTGGGAACAAAATAAAAAGTCACGTTTTTGGACAAAATGTCCAAAAATGCAAGTGCCAAAAACGCAACAAAATTGGTTTGGGAAGGGCCAAAAACGCAAGTGTAAAATTACAAATTAGGACCTATGATAAAAAAAATAAATCTCTTATGTTGGGTAAAGGTATGTTAGTCATTTTAATTTGATTTGACACCATAAACAAATATTAAACTAAAAAGTAAAAAGTCAACTTTTTGCCAACTTCCCAAATCACTTTTCAAAAAGCTAAAAAGCTTGGTAAAAAATCAAAAGTCAACTTTTTACCAACTTCTCAAAACACCATAGTCAAGTCAAGGAAAGAAGATGAAGAAAACGATGCGAAATTGCGACAGATTTTCTAGGAACCCCCTTCCCCCCTTTTTTTCTTTTCTTTTTTTTTTTTTTCAATTGTCCCAATTAAGAAATATACTTTTTTTGTATATATTTTAAGAGAATTTTTTTAATTCCACTCATATTAAGATTTTATAAGATAAAAGATATATAATATTTTTATAATAATTAAGATTCCTTAACATTTTCATAGAAAAAATTCAACTCGGATAAATTTGCCCGACTCAGAGAAATTTCATCTCCGACACTTTCAAAATTTCTCTAATATAATCACAAAGAAATTTCATCAAAGGACCTTAACTAGTAAAAAAATATCTTGAATCTCTCCTATTATTCAAAATTAGAGAGAGATACTTCACTAATTTTTTCTATATTTTAACTAGCGGAAAAATAAAGAATATGTTCAACTTGTTTTCTGTCAATTTTTTCAATTGAATTTTTTTAAAATTAGGTTTTTTATTTTTTGTATTTTTTTCACTGTATTTTTTTATTTTTTTCTTCTAATTTTTAGATTTACTTAATATAAATACAATTAAATTGTTTTAAATTTTTCGATATAATATTTGATATTTTTCAAATTTTTTTGGGTGCGCTTGCCCCTCACTGACACCCCCTAAATCCATCATTGATAATTGACACATCCCTTGAAAGGGGTGTGTATAATAGCATTTTCCTACGTATTAGATATTTTTTGAAAAATATTATATAATTTTTTAATAAAGTTACATTAATTTGTAATTTAGAAATAAAATTAATGTTAGATAATTTGTGACCCAAAAATATTTTAATAAAAAAATATGTAATATCGTCACCCAAAAAAAAAAAAAACATTTCCACATAATTTTATTTTTGAATCATAAATTATAATAACTCTACCTCAAGATTAAAGTTTATTTTGGAAAGTAGGTTAAAAGTTGGTTTTTTTTTTTTATTTTTATTTTCTTAAATATGTAAAAAAAAAATAGAGAAGTGATGTGACAAAAAAAGCCAAAAAATAAAAAATTAGCTTTTAGCCGAATTTCCAAAATAGACCTAAGTAACAGTTTTGTAAACATACTTATTGTTATGAGTATCTTGTTATAAAATAAAATGTCTAAATTGAGCGAGATCATTTTATATAAATTTGTTGTGTATATATAATTTTCGGATTATTTTTTGTCATTTTCTTCTCATATGTGCGAAATCCTACAATGTAAGAGAGTAGACTACCAAGTTATTACTCCTTTTGTCTCAATAGTTCGTCTTTTTTTCAATATTCGTGTTCTTTAATTATTTTAATAACTACTATATTTTTTATTAAAAGAATTCATTTTTTTTTCTATAAATTAAAAAATATTAACTAGTTTTTATAGATAAAATTTTCAAAATGTTAAAAAATTAATTAAAGATATAGATAATTTCTTAGAATATCTGTAAAATTGAAAATGCATAAACAATTTGGGACCAAGTATAGTTTTTTTTAAATAAAAAGGGTTTTAAATAATAATTAGGGTTTGAGATATGGGTGTAAGTATTTAATAAATATATATAGAGAAAATTTTGTGGAAAATATCATTTAAGTGGAATATAGAAAAATAATAATAGCATATTAATTAAAATTTTTAGAACATTAAAAAATAATTTTATAAGTTTATTCATGAAATTGTTTGTCTTTTTTTTCTTTTTTTTTTTTACAAGTTAGCCCTAACATGTTATTTTCCCAAAATTCTATGGTACACACTTCTTTGGAGTGTGTATCATATGCATTCTTACTAACGATCTTTTTGATATTAGTTATAACCAATTAGAGTGTTAGCTATAAGATGTTAGCTATGACCTATTAGAGAGTTAGTTATGACATTATTTTGTTATGATTCAAAAGTTCTTATACTTTGGCACCGTTTGGGAAGAAGTTGGTTGGGCTTTTTTGGCTATTTTAGCCACAAAAAACAAAATAGGCTATTTTAGCCATAACAAACAAAACATCACATCCAACCCATAATCATTACCTCATAATCATTATACTCTTCTCTCACAAAAAAAGTCAAAAAAATCAAAAAGCCCTTCCCAAACCAAGCTTTTTAGCCCAGGCTAAAATAGCCAAAAAAGCCAAAAAGCTAAAAAGCCAACCCACTTCCCAAACGGAGGCTTTATGGTATTTGGTAATAACTCATTTTTTTAATTATAACTCTTATATGATTGAGTTATAACATTTGTAGTGATCAACTTAAAAAATGACATAGCTTGTATATGGTGCATACTTTTTTTAAGGTTAACCAGACTGAGTGATTAACTTTTAATTAGGTAAATTATACTGAGATTTTGATAAAGGGCAGTCAACCCCAGAATTTTAGCAATATTACACTCACATCCCTTCCAATAATAAATATATTAACGGTATTAAGTTAATAATTCAATTATTATTTTACTCCTAGATTTTTATTTTTCAAAAGTGCGCTTTGTGTCAAAATTAATTAAATTGATTAAAAAATCTCTCAAAAACAGGTTTGGGGTAAACAAATTGGGAGAAATTGCAAATCAATGGAATAATAATAGAATATTTGCAATTTATGGTGACGCAAATATCCTGTGTGCTTGGTGTAAGTCCTTCTATCTGGTGTAATTCTTTCTTGTGTGTCAAAGTTGCACCCAAAGAAATTTCATCTATAGTACAATAATTTTCCCACTATCCCACTGATTTCAAATTTTCCCAACAAATTATTTTTATCTCATCTTTAACTCGTTTTTTTAATTTCAAATTTGTTCAATATAATTAGTATAATGGCAAAATTGGAATTTTATAAAACAAAATAGTTGTTCTGTTAAAAATTGATAGTATTCTAATAGAGTAGAATAAAGGAAAAATTAATGAAACATCTCTGTAACTTTTGGTAGTACAAGAGGTCCAATATATTTTTTCTTATTAGTTAAGATCTCTCAATAATATGAAATTTCTTTTTGAAAAGTTAAAATTTATCTGTGAAGACAAATTTCTCTGTGAAAATGTTAAAAGATTACAACTACTATAAAAAATATTGCATGCCCTTTATATTATAAAATCTTAATATCAGGACCTTAAACTAAAAATCTCTAGAATAAAATGTTATATAATTTAAAATTTAAATGAAATTGATATAATTATATAAAAATTATAAGAAGTATTATAATTAATTGAGTAATGTTCCAATGTACAATGTACATCGTATGCAATTCTATCTCAAAATTATGTAAGTGTTCACGAATTTACATAAAGAATTTTACAAAAATGCATAAATTAAAAACAAATTTGATTAAGTTCATTTTTATGAATAAACTTGCACATATTTAACTTACAAAATTTTGTGATGGTGTTACACGGAATTTTTTTTCTTCTAATTATATAATTATAATTTCTTCAATAACCCCACTTGTTTTTCCTTCAGCATGATCTCCCTTCTATCTTTTTGTCTTTTCAGTCGGGCCAGTGATGTTAACATCCAATTATCATAAACTTTGGTGAAGTTTCTTTTTATTTTCCTTGGATAACCCCACTGTGTCTTTCAAACCCACTATTAATTTTTCAACAAAATATGACAACGATTATATTCTATATCATAAATTGTTTATTATTTCTTATGTCTTATGTCTTATGTCATTATAATATAAGTTTTTAATTTGTATTTTTTTTAGTAATTTTTTTAATATTTTAATTAAAAAGAAGGAAAAGCATGGAAGACGACAAGAACTCTGTAAGTAAATGTTTTAGGAGAATTCTCTAATATATCTCTCTTATCATATGTATCATAAATTTTGAAATATTTAGTTATGTCTCGTAGTGATTGATGATGATTTTTTTTTTAATTTTTTAAATTATGATTTAAAAAATATAAAATTTTGCCATTTCTTCTTTAGTTATAATATACCATAGTCTTTTCAAATGTTTTAGGATTATTGATACATGTACACAGAATTAAATTATAAAAAAACAATAAGGGAATTTACAAATTAGGGGGCATCAGAGAATTATGTACAAAAAAATAATAACAAATATTATAAATAATTAAAATCATAAATTTTTCATGTTTTTGCTTTCACCCGTTGGGATCGGCTGGGGTGTAAACTCCTGCAGTACACGAGAAACAAATCCGAACGGCAGAAACTCCGGCGAATGAAAATCTTCTCTCTTCCACTCATCCCACCTACCCAATCTCACACACTGTAGATAGAAAAAGAGAAAAGGGGTCCATTGAAAACAAAACAAAAAAAAGTGATACAGACAGTCAACAGAGTGTGAGAGAGAGAGATGGGCGAGGAGGTTGAGAAATTAGAGAGACTGAGAGTGAGGCATGTGGAAGAGGAGGTCCTGCAATGGATAGCCCAGAAACCAGATCACCACTTCAGTTTCCCATTTTGAGGTGATTTTGGTCCCTCCAAGTCTGCGTTTTTTTAAATTTTTTTGCAATCTCAATCAAGTGGGTCTTGCTTTTTTTGCTTTGTTTGATATTGATTTGTACTTTGTTTGGTAAATCTGAAAGTTTTTGGTACTAGGTTTCATTCATTTTGGTGAAAAATTGTTGAATTTTGTTGATTAATTGGTCCCCTAAAGCCTGCAATTTTTTACTTTGCGAGAGCTCCGATGACGGTGGCTGTTTCCTACGCGGACGGCGTCTTCTCTCTCTATCTCCCATCTTCATGGAATACACTTCGTCTCACTATCTTTCGCGTCTTATTTATTTATTTTTTTTGGGAAATCACTAGACAGTGGGACAGGACAGAAAAAAATTATTACAAATACCCGCGTACATGAATAAAGCTGGAGAGCCCCCAGTGGGGTACTGGGATCCTCCCTTATTGGAAAAAAAAACAGTCGTTTGTTTGGTTTGAGTTTTTTAGATTAAATTTTTTAAAAGTTAATTTTTATATTTTTTTGTTTTTAATAAATATTTTTTAAATTTTAAATATTTTTTTTAATTTTTTAGAAGCACCTTACTTAGATATATCTAAAAAGTAAAAAATTTGTTAAAAAATATTTTAAAAAATTAATAAATACATAAAAATACAAAAAAATGTACTGAATTCTTGTATTTCCTCTGAATGAAGTCGTCGACGACCTCCACCGTTGTGAAATCGGAGGCTCTAAAAATCTCATCAATAGCTTCAGAAAAGTTCCAGATCTAGAGTCTATGTTATGTTTGGTATTCTATGTTATGTTTTACGTTACGACAGCAGATGATGATGATAATGAGTAGATTCAATTGTTAATGAAAGAAATTGGTAGATTCAAATATGTTCAAAAAGGTAGATCTATTCAAGAAAGGCAGATCTGTTCAAAAAATTGAATAGATGGATAGGGATAAGTTCAAAAAATTAAATAGATAAAAAAAAAGAAGATTTTAATAGATACTTGCAACTAAAAAAATAATTTGCATAAATAGATACAAATCTGTTAAAAAATAGCACATATCTGTTCAAAATGATAAAGATATTTCAACAGCTAGTGGATTTGTAGAGAAAGATATATAGAGAAAAAGAGAGAGTGTTGGGTTTTGAAAAGATAACAAATAGTTTTTTTTTTTTTTTTTTTGGTTTTCAGCCAATCCCAGGCCGACACGTGGCACTGGAGGGTCACTGGGGGTCTGTAACATTGCTGATAATTTTAATTATTAATACTAATGCATATGCAATTCGGATAATTAATAATAAAAATAAATAGTAAAAAATTTAATATTATAATATTGTTAGCAAAAATCTGGCCTGGATCAAATCGACAGGAAAAAATCAGCAGAGAAAACCAATTTTCACAAACAGAAATTCAATCAGGCAACGTGGTTAATGTCCTATGCCTTATAGTTTCAAGGATTTCTTTAAAGGTTGTAATGTGAAGAAACAAAATATAGACACACTGAAATTGGTAATAAAATTAAAACTTGTTACTCAATTGCATTAATCAAACAACAAGCACAATTTTTATAGAATCAACAGGAATAAAAAAGGTTACAAGAACATAAACTAACTGCTAAATGCTACTCCTAAATTAAGGTAATTTACTCCTAAGTTAAGATAGACTACTTCTAGATAAAGAGCTGTCATGAGTTTGATGTTTTGTTGATATTTTGGCAACATTTCAAGTATGTGATCTTTAAGTGATTAATGAGAACCACCAACAGAACTTTGTTTTTTCGTCTTATATTATTCAAACAATGTTTGATCTTTAGCCAATTCACCAAAATTAAGTTTTGGTGTGATTCACAAACCAAAAATGGGTGTTGAATGCCATAATCCGTAGTTTTGCATAGCTTAAATTTCTGAAAAATTCAACCTTTTGATCAATGTCAAAAATATTAAATTCATCATGGATTAGTTGTTCATAATTTTCAGCCATAGTTGGCTGTTTTGGCCATAATCAATAGAAAATATTTTTTTTCTTCTTCTATCGATTCATGCAGAGTATAATCCATTGGCCATTAGCCTTTAAATTAGCCTTCTGTCGATGCGCCGACATTAAACAATTGGTCATTAAATTGGCCTTCATGCAAAGTATAAATAATTGGTCATTGGCCATTATTGGTTGGCCTAGGCTGTTTTATATGGTCATTTTTTATTCCATCAAACTTACAAGATATTACTTTTGTTAACCAATTTATCAAAATCAACTTTTTGATGTGAACCACAAACCCACGATGGTCATTGGATAACAAAAACTATAAAATCAAATAGTTTTAGAAAATCAAAACTTTTGACAAAATTAACAATGTCAAAAATTTCAAATTCAACAAATGTGGGTTGTTCATGATTTTCAACCATGTTTGGCTTAAAATCATGCCCTCAAGTAAATCTTCACCATCATTTTGTGATAGATTTTCATAATTTTTTTGTCAAAAGGAGTTGTTTATCTTTTTCTGGCCATTAATGGCTTGCCCCCAAGCGTATTTTCACCCATTTTGTGATGAATTTTTAACATATTTTGAGATAAGGGGATGTTTTTCTATTTTAGCCATTACTGGCCTATGAAAATTTTCTAAAATCATGTTATTTTCATGACTTGGTGTACTAACCCTTCGAGTCACATACCTTGAATTTTCATGAATAATTGGCTCCTTAGGAATACGGGTATTAGCCTTCCAAGCCACATTATTTTCATACCTTAATTTTTTGTTGGCCACTAAGCCTTCTAAATTATGCTCCCAATATCGAATTTCTTCATCAATTAGGTAAATTTGAGCTTCAAGTTGATGAATTTTTTCACCAAAATAATTTAAATCTCTCTGCATCAAATAATATGGAGATGATGAAATTATCTGAAATCTTTGTCAATAAAAAGAATTAATTTCTCTTCTTATGGCCAAACTTTCATTCCCACGTCAATAAACTTCATCTTTACAATGCCAAATCATTCTTTCCATATCATTTATCATGCCATTATGTTGGCAATAGGTGTTAGAATCATTATCATAATATTGGCAATCTTTAGATATAGAAGATGAGACATTCCACTAATAATTTATATCCATGGGAATACTGCCATTCCATTGGCGGTTTGCATCCATAGGTGCATAAGATACGGACATGCCACTTGAAGGCATGATTCCATAAGTATTAGTTTGCTTCTTTATCACCATCATTCCAAATTAGATAGGTCCCACTACGCGTGCCAAAAATTGTTAGCAAAAATCTGGTTTGGATCAAATCGACAGGAAAAAGTCGACAAAGAAAACCAATTTTCACACACAGAAATTCAATCAGGCATTGTGGTTGGTGTCCTATGCCTTGACAGTTTTAAGGACTTCTTTGGAGGTTGCAATGTGAAGAAACAAAGCATAGACACACTGAAATTGATAATAAAATTGAAACTTGCTACTTAATTGCATTAATCAAACAACAAGTACAATCTTTGTTACACAATCGACAAGAATAAAAAAGGTTACAAGAACCAAAACTAACTACTAAAAGCTACTCCTAAATTAAAGTAATCTCCTCCTAAGTTAAGATAGACTACTAAATAAAGAGCTCTCATGAGTTTGATGTTTTGTTGATGTCCTTTTCTTTCTGCAAAACCCTGGCTTTTATAGCTTCTTTCACTTTCTTTGGCCCATGATCACACGACTCCTTTAAATTTGCAACTCCTTAACTACTACTACAACTGCCTCCTCACTTCCAAACCTTCAAATCTTACCAAACCTTCAACTCTTCCTGTCGAACCAACTCTCCATGCTGCCACGTGCCCCTCATCACTCTAAGCACCACATTGACAGAGAATAAGCCCCCAGTTGCAAGCATCATCTCCTACAAACCAGCCCACTAAGCCACAAACTGGTTAGTAACTGCTCCAAGGTTACTTTTAGCGCTTCATGCACACGATCACCTTCTTCATGTCACATGTCCCTTTGATCAATGGAAGACTTTCACTCTGACCCATTGCCACGTGTTATCACTCAATTGGTCCACTGTTGATAAGAAATTTACGAAAATAGGTGCAAACAAATATGTATATTACTTAAATGATAAGTATGTTCTTAATAAAGCACAAAGTCTTTGGTTCAAAACTTGCTTACATTGTGTATAATAATTTTTTTTATTTATTTTAACATATACAAAGTTGTCACATGATGTGAGGAGAAGGATGTCTCACTAAATTAATTTAGGCTTTCACTTAATAATAATATATATTCATAATATATATTTGTAATTAAAATTTACTCACACCACTATTGTGTAGCTTTCTTCTCTTTGTTTTTTTTTTTGGCCTGCATTTCACATAACAACATCGTTTTGTGAGCTGCATAGATACTCCAGGTTTTTCACCCCAGCGAATCCGAACACATTTTTCCCACCCACAGCACCCAGGGGGGAAGGGAAAAAGCCCCTCCTATGAAATCATAAAAGGGTGAAAGTGTAATTTACTCGTAAAATCAATGGTCAAAATGGTTAATTTATTTTTAATTGACGATTTCACTATTAGTTTTTGTCTAATTTTTTAATAGTGTTATTAAATTAGACTAAATTGATAAATTATAAAAAAAAATTTAATATAATTAAAATTATATAGATCAAATTAATACAAGAAACAAATTATAAGGACCATAAGTATAATTTTATCTTATCTTTTGTTTTTAGCTTCAAAAAAAAAAAAATTTTAAAAAATGGATATTTACATACAAGTTCTAATTTATAAACTTATACTCTAGTTTTAACTAAGATTTTTTAGACCTTCAAGTCCCATTAATTTTTTAATAGTCAGAATTGCCCTTCAAATAATGATTATTCATCATTTATGATTTTCTATAAAGGAATGTGATGATTTGATATTTATTTTGATTTTCAAAACTTTAAAATATCAACTTTCAAATTGAAAAAACTAAAAAAAAAATTATGTTTTTTTTTGAAAAATTTGAATTATTTTTTTGCAAAACTGAAATTTTTGTGTCTATAAGAAGCATGATGATAGAACATTGATGTACAAAACTGAATAAATAAATAAATAAATAACTTTAAAAATAAAAAAAAAATTGATATTGTTCTCAGTTTTAAAACTGAAAAAAAAATTGATAATAGTTTCGATTTTATTAGATAGTTGAATCAAACCAATAAGTTGAAGGAAAAAACGTTTAATCTCAGTAAAATAATTATCTCAAACATTACTATGCAAAATTGATAATGTTCTTAGTTTTAAAATTAAAAAAAAATTAATAATATTTTCAATTTTACTAAATAAAACTTATTAGTTTAAAAATTTTTAAATAAAACATAAACTATCATAATATTTGTAAATAAAATTTTTAAATAATTAACTCATAAAAAAATTGTCTATCATTTTTGGTTTTGCGTGCAGCTGCGAGCACAAGCAGCGAGGTCTCCTAATATCGCCCCTTCATTTTTCAGAATAGCTGGACAGGGGACATCTGATGAAATGATTAAGCTCCGTGTAAGTTATACACACACACACACATATATAAAGGTAAATTATAATTTTTTGGGGGTGAATAATAAATTATAATTTTAACTTCCAAAGTTTAACTCAAATTTTACTTTAATTTTTATTATTTCAAATTAAATAATTTGGTCTTTATTTTTTAAGTCAAGTTTTAGATTGATCATTTCATTCAAATTGAAGATTAAAATTAATTATTTTGGGATACTTGTCAATCTTGTAAGGTGTACATGTAGAAAGATATAATAGAAATTTGGACAGAATGATTAAATTGAAACTAAACTTAGAGTGTAGAGATTAAATTGTTCACAATGAAATAATAGGAATCAAAGTGAAATTTAAGTCAAATTATAAGGGTATAAATTGTAATTTACCTTTTGTTTTTATATTATTGACATGGGTTAATTGCATTTAATATCCTATTATTTTATTGAAATTTTATCTTAGTCCTTCCATTTTAATTGTAACACATCCTTTACACATTTAATCAAGGTAAAATATTACTGTTCTATTCATTTAATGTTGATGAGGATGACAAAAATTAACTTGTAAATGCAACATTTTTCAAGAAAAATAAAATTGAAAGTAGAGTAATAATATACAACCAAAAAATTCTTACAAAATTTTTAATGATGTGACTCAGTATAAACTATTCACTTTATCAAAATGGAATTGTGTTTTTTATATGAATTTTATGTATGAATAACATTTTTCATGAAAGTGCAGAGATTGGTTGCATTTAAACCTGTGATAATCACGTTGTGAACGCTTGAAAAAAATAAATAAATAAAAAGAAAAAGAGAGAAGGCACTATGCATGCTTGATAAAAACTACCATAAGAAATGAATCTAAATTTTTACTTTTCCTTTATTATTTTTTTAGGTTGGGGCTACAATCACAAGCCAATCTGTGCCTGGCCAAAACATTGTTCTTGTAAGACCAAGAACTTTAGGTCAAACAAATCCTAAAGGTACATGCTATACACGTATTATCTAATATTTCAATTTCTTCCTCATTTTGCTCCTTAAAGTTTAAACCATTTACATTCTCTAAATACTAATTGTATATATTTTTTTTGGACACCTGCTATGTATAGGATTGTGAATAAACCATAATTAGTTGCTTGGATAAATTGTTGACCTTACATTTATATTTGATGTTCATGTAATTGGCATATATCAGTTTCAGTTTTACTTTCCATATAACTTTCAAGTCCTTTTTTGCAAATTAGAACACAATAGTCTAGTTCCAATGGAAGGTGATGAGGAGATTTTTGAAGAAGAGGCAGTTTGCAAATTTTGTTTTGCTATTTTGAAAGAAGAAAATATACTCAAGACGGAATGTAAATGTGGTAACGCCTTCATCCATGAAGAATGTGCAGCTAACTGGTCAAGAATGAGAGGTGACAACTACTGTGATTTTTGTGAACAAGAGGTTCAGACTTTTCCTGTTGCTTTGGTTAGATGGCTGAGTAGTTCTACTCAAATGGTTGGTAGAGAAGAGAACAATAAATGGAGCTTGTCTTCATGGTTGATGAGGTAAATCCAATTTTGCAAGTTATCATTATATATGTAGATCAAATTGACAATAAAAGTGATACAAAGTGCAATAGTAGTAGGAGTTGAGGTTGATAAATTGATTATGACATATAATCTAACTTCTTTTCAGGTTGTGTTGGGATCATAGATTTGGGTAGAGATTTCACCAATGTCATGATTTGTTGCAAACTACACCTCATTCTTTAACTAGTTATCATAGTTCAAACTTTGTTTGTGCGCGTGCCTTGTATTATGGGGAACTGTACAATTATTGCTTTTCTCTATATGTATTTGGATTAGTTGTGGAATTCGGAATGGGTTTTGTCTTTTAACAATTGAATGAGACTAGAATTCATTGGTTGGTTGATAAATAGCAACTTTGGGAAAATATCTCTTGCGGTACACAGCATGTGCAGAATCATTTAAACCTCTGTGTGCATTTTTCTCTATGGTGTGTGGAGGTGTGCTTCCATTCACATTCGTGGGGTGGGATGTAAAAATTCTTGTCTATGTCAAAGTTGTATCAACGTGAGTCATAGGCCTCAATTTATAAGGGCCAACTTCAAATCACTCTGTTCTAATAGTTGTTTGTAGATTTACATTCCTTTATTTCTTTCCATGATTCCTTTTACCAAGTTTTTGTTACATATTCTGACACATATTTTTGCATTTTTGGTAGGATTTGGAAGGCTTGAATTTCTCAATATCTTTTGTCTTCTCAGAGCAATTTTTGCAGTAGCATCTCCTAATATAAAAGGAGCAACTGATGAAGGGCATAATTTGATTTCTATCTATAATTTGATGAGTTTAATTAGTATTTATATTTTATGCAATGTAGCTATTTTGGCAATATTTTTAGGGCCTTTGGCCTAGTGATTTGTGGTGTGAGATTGTCGGTTCATTTTGTGGTGTAAGATTGTCGGTTCATTTCTTATGGAGAGGAGTTTGATATATTTTATGGTGTTTATGTTTTTCCCATTTTGATATTTGTAAGTTTAAGCTATTTCTTATGGTGGTTGTTAGACTTGGTGATTATTTGCTTTCTAGTTTTTGTTGAACTTTAACTGTCCAATTTAATGTAATGCTTGTATTTGTAATTAATATATATATAGAGAGAGTATTGATTTCTTAGCTCTTTCCTCTGATCTGACCAATAATTTTAAGAATTTTATGATTTCCCATTTTATTTTTCGAAACACATAATATTATTGGCAAGCACACCACCAACAGTATGTTGGAGACATGGGTGTTGAGAAACAACAATTTTATGATAATTTGTTAGCACAATATTAATGTAATGGGTTTCATAATTCATGTATATTTAATATTATGTTGACAATATTTTTTAATAGGTCATATGATAAGATAAGATCATAGAAATAAACGGTCATTATACCATTACATAGTATTCTCAATCAATAAAAAATGATAACAAATCCTTTATCTCCTACCTATTTAATAAAGATGAGTCAATATGTTTTACCGGTAAAATTTTCACTACATGATTGGTTTAGAACACTAAGTAAAAAATATGTTAGGGTAAACTACTAATAAGTCTTAATAGTTTGACTTAATTCCCATCAAATCTTATTAAAAAAAAAGTACTAGTAAAATCATTGCTAAAAATAATTTTTTTGCGATGATTTTTTGTATATCTCTAAAAATTGACAATTAACAACTTTTTTTTATCGCAGTTTTATAAATTGTTGCTAAAACTTACAATTAGTAATATTTTTCTGTGACGAATTTTTAAATTTATCGTTGAAAGTTGAAAATTAATGACGTTTTTTTAAACCGTCGTTAAAACTTATAATTAGTGATATTTTTTGTGACAATTTTTAAATGGTCTTTGAAAATGAACAATTAGTAACGTTTTTTTTAATAATATTTAATAAAAATATCATTAATTATTATAGGGCCTATTGGATAATAAATCCACTTATTAAAACCTACACATAAATCTCCAAAATGTTATACTCGATGGTACTCCCAATAATTACCCTTAAAATGATAGGATATGTTAGAGTGGTTAGGGAGGCCTTGCAATAAAATAAACCCTTAATTTTTAATTTTATCAATTTAAATTTTAATATTTTGATTTATTTTTAATCTAAACTATTCTTATTTTCATTAAGTAAAATTGACCAAAATATATATATATATATTAACCATTAAACACATGTCTAAAATATCCGTTTTCAATTAGTTTAGTGATTATGTAATACCCTCAAAATAAACTCATAAATCATACATTCTTGACATGCTTAAACATAAGAGAATGAAGCATAATTACATTTTATCAGAGTATTCATTACAAAATGTATTACATGTTGACAACAAAAGTAAATGCCCTATAGACTTACAACTTTTCAAGTCAACACTTGGTTACAAAAGGAGAGTACTAACTCTACACAAAATAAGCCATTGGCTTGATAAACATGTAATATAACAAAATAAAACAAAAAGAGTCTTCAACTCCCACTGCCATCCAAGCAAAGACCTTGGAGGCGGCATACTACCTGTACCTAAAAATAATGTCTCATATAGGGTGAGCCAACGCCCAATAGAGATATGCTAAACATAATATGAGCAATAACTAAAACATAAGCATTTGATAAATGTTTAACTCACATAAATCAATTCATAACCCATTTCAATTACATGACAAGTGTGTCCATGTTTCATTCCATTTCCCATTTCTTAATCAATTTCTCAATTCATATCCTGGCTCAGAACCTGGCCATATACTTTAAATGAGATTATATTTCATATCAATAATATTTCTATTTTAACGATTCAAATGACAGAATAACTTATCTCAAACACATCCATAAGCCTCAATAGATACACACATTTGCTGTATCAATAACATACAAAATACTTCCATGCGTCACAAATAATACACAGATTTGTTGTATCAATAATTCAAGCAATACACATATTTGCTGTATCAATAAAGTTCATCCCCTATCTCCTCCTAAACAATATCTGGTTTAGGAGTCCATCCCCTATCTTCCTCTAAACCGTGGAGTACATCTCCTATCTTCTCCCACACAATACAATGTATATAAACACATATCATATACATAATCAATCAATACATAAATTTGATGTATTATTCCAACCGTCATATCCGATGACATAATCAATTGATCAGTTTTAGTTTGCCTAATCATCATGCATTGTCTATAACAATCAAGACTATCCTCCACCAATAGCCCAAAGCAATTATCTCTAAACAGAAAAATAATTACACCAACAGATAATTTATCAACAATTTTCAAAGGTGAGTGATTAATAAATCCAACTCCACCATTCCGTCTTATATTACGCCAATTTCATTAATTCCAACTTAATTTCATAATTCCATAATTTCCAAATTAATTACATGAATTAATTGCCATAACAATTTAAGGCTTTTTCCCCCATTTCTCAATATTGACCCAAAGGCCCAAAATAGTCTCAATAACTTCAATACTACCATTTTAAGACCCAAACCACACATTTATGAGTCAAGACCACAAAATCCCTCTTTTGAAAATAACACATTTTAAACCCTAACTTTCCAAATCAACCCATCTACACAAATAACTCAATGTCTATGTTAAAGCACATAAGAATGAGTAGGAATTCCTACCTCAAATCCGGAGCTCAAGGGAGAGGATGATGAAAAACTCAAAGTGCTCCAAACACCAAACTTTTCGGATCAAAAGGAAAAGCAAAACCAACTCCACACTTCTTGCAAATGACCCAAGGTAGAAGATCAATAGATCTAGATGATATTGAAGAGAGAAGTTGACATCTAGAGAGAGAGACTCTCAAATCTGGGTTTGGAAAAGTAAGAGAGAGAAAGAAAACCAAAAAGTGATCCAAAAAGGTGAAATCCCGAAGTGATATAGAAATCGCCCCGCTCGAGCATGGAACTCCCCGCTCGAGCGTCAGACACAGACTCACGCTCGAGCGTAAAAAGGGCCACTCGAGCACCAAATGCACACTTCCAGAAGTTTTGCAGGCGATGGTCCCCGCTCGAGCGTCAAACTCCTCGCTCGAACGGAGGAACAAAATCAAAGGTTCACCCTCGAGCGTCAAAACTCCCGCTCAAGTGTATGAAAACCTGCAGAGAAAAATACTGGGAGATGGAAATTCACGCTTGAGCGTCAAAACACCAGCTCGAGCGGAAAAGCAACAACAAAGAGCCCGCTTGAGCGTCAAAAGCCCCGCTCGAGCGTGAAAGCCAAAATCTGGGCATCAACTATAGGTTTCTAAACACACCCAACTTGAAACAAACCTGCCCAACACATTCTATAACTCACAAATAAAGAATCAAAGGATGACAACCAAATATATACAACAACCGACTCCACGGAACCTAAGTCCGGATACAACAAACAAAGGAGAAAGAACCAGGATCGCTATAACCTCCCCCCCTTAAAAGATTTCGTCCCCGAAATTAAGTGCAAGTTTTCAAGAAAAACAAGTTTTTCTCAATTCTCAACAATGTTACAATTCATTACCCAACAACTTGACCCGTTATTGGTCATTCCATCTCTATTCAAGAGGCAGTTCACAATATATACTCAATATGCATCATTAGCATGCTTTCTCTTGATATATTTCCATTTCTACGGTACATTCAACATATGCGATGTTACATTAAACTTCCATTTCAAGGCAAGTTTCAAATACTTCCACAAATCAAAACATATACAATGTTTTACAACTCAAGACGTATTTAATGCTCTTTAAAGTTCATCAATGTTACAAAATCCCAATACATGGTTAAACATTTACAAACAAGTCCGGATATTTCTCACGGACATCCACCTCACGTTCCCAAGTAGCTTTTTTCACTCCGTGATGTTTCCACAAAACTTTCACCAAGGGAATAGTCTTGCCTTGCAAGACTTGATCCCGCCTATCCAAGACCCGAACCGGTCTCTCTTCGTACGAGATATCCTCGTCGACCTCCAAATCGGTCCAATCCAGCACATGGGACGGATCCGGCTCATACTTCCGAAGCATACTAACATGAAACACGTCATGCACTCCGGACAACTACGGCGGCAAAGCCAAGCGATAGGCAACCTCACCAATCCTCTCGAAGATCTCAAAAGGGCCAATAAACAGAGGGGACAACTTCCCACTCTTAGCAAATCTCATCAAACCCCGCCTAGGTGATATTTTCAAGAAGACATGATCACCTGTCTCAAATGCTAAAGGCCTCCTCCTATTGTTGGCATAACTATTTTGGCGACTCTAGGCTGTAACAAGCCTCCTACGGATAGGTTCAACTTTCTCCGTCGTTTCCCTCACCAACTCCGGACCCAACAAAGGTGCATCACCCACCTCAGCCCAACAAACTGGAGACCTACACGGTCGGCCATATAAGGCCTCAAACGGTGCCATACCGACACTCGACTGAAAACTGTTGTTGTAGGCAAACTCCACTAAGGTCAAGTGCCTCTCCCACATCCCATTAAAGTCAAGAATACAGCCTCGAAGCATATCCTTAAGGATCTGAATGGTACGCTCGGACTGCCCGTCAGTCTGAGGATGGTAAACCGTGCTAAAGGTTAATCTAGTGCCCAAGGCACTCTGTAAGCTCTGCCATAGCCTAGTAGTAAAACGAGGGTCTCTATCAGAGACGATCGACACTGGGACCCTGTGCAACCTCACTATGTCCCGAATATATAAGTCAGCAAGATGATCTACAGAATCTCTCATGCGCATAGGGATAAAGTGCGCCGACTTAGTCAACCAGTCTACAACCACCCAAATAGCATCACTACCCCGCTGAGTCCTCGGAAGACCTACAACGAAGTCCATAGTGACATGCTCCCACTTCAACTTGGCAATAGACAAGGGTTGTAATAAACTCGCTGGTCTTTGATGCTCGGCCTTCACTTGCTGACAAGTAAGGCACTTCGATATGAAAACTACCACATCTCTCTTCATACCCCGCCACCAAAATTGGCGACCCAAATCACGATACATCTTGGTGCCTCCCGGATGCACTGCAAGGCGTGAATGGTGAAACTCTCAGAGTACTTCCTCTTGG